GAGAGCCCGTTCGACAAAGACTTCACCGTCGCCATGATACCAAAACTGGAGTATTCCGCCCTCCTCAAAGCGCTGCAGTGGGTGCAGGCGGGCGCCCCCACGGCCCGAGCACGAGCAACGACGGCGACGACGACGGCGACGACCACCGTCCTATGGAAGGCGACCCGCTCCGTCCGAGGTACGGTGGGTTCGAGTCGTGTCGACACGGCGGCGACGCCAGCGCGGGCGCTCAAGGTTGAAAGCCGCTGGCAGCTTGGAAATGTGGTTGACACTCCCCGGGCCCACTTATGACTCACAGCGTCGGCTCAAGCTGCTGTGAGTTGGCTTAAGAAAAGCGCGCGCGCCCGCCCGCCCCTCGGCTGGCTGTCCCATCGCAGAGTTGTTGTAGCTAGTTCGAAGCTTATCGGACATCCTACCAATCTCATGGCATGGAGAGACAGATCTCCTACATCATGTTCACCGAGGGTAAACCTTAGCAAGAGGCTTCAGCAAGGAGATGGTAAAGCGTTGCGTATCAATGTTGTCAAGAATATGCCAATGTCAACAAAGGACTGGCAAAGTACGGGCTAGCAGCCGAAAGTTCTGACTAAAGTGGTTTTACCTGATGGAGGAACGATCTTCCTTCCATCCAAGGATGATGAGCGTCCCGAAGAGAGATCCCGCCATCAGATGAGTGTGGACGCTCGTGAACCCGATTACGCCGACGATGTCGGGGAACCGAGCCAACGTCCTCCCAACAAAATATCATGTAACCACTCGTATGCCGACGAGCCTCGTCCTGGCATTCCGAGACCGAAGAACAAGATCATCAGTCTACGAGGCCAGACGGAGAGGACGATCTAGAATCTAGACTTCATTCTGCCCGACCACCACGCGGACGCCTCAGGGCACTTCTCGAGTGACGACCACGGAGTGGAAACCAGATCATCACAGGATAATTTCTCGCGCAGATCAACGCCAAAGCCGATTGACTTCCATGAGGACCAGGAACCGTCTGTCGAAGGGCACGAGGTATATGACCGCGTGTCTCCCGTCCCGCTTGGCGACCTACCACTGCGTGGCGAAGATGCAGCGATTCCATCCGATGGTTCTCTGGAACGGCATTTGGAAGACATCATAGATGAGGCGTCTGTGGACGGCCCCGTTCGGTTGGCGAGCAAACAGAGACGAGAAGCGACTAGCCTTGCGATATCCCGGGGTAATACCCTATGTTCGTTCAGGGAGGGGCACCCGGGAGCTATGTCCCGGGGTCCCCTAGGTGAACTTCGACGCATGAATCCCCTGACCTGCACACCCACTCTCCCCGCAAAAGAAGCACCGAGAGAGACAAACCTAGGGCCCCGAGACCGCTGTCAGAGGCATCGGACATGCATCGGTGAAGATCGGGCACCTTCATCATGCAGATCAATGCCATGTGTGCTAAAGGTGGCCCCCAGTGCGCTGAAGTGCCAGAGTGACGGTGCCCTGGCCTACTGGGTCAGTGTAAGAAGCCTGTTGGCTTTGGATTTTCCAACAGTTGCGATCGCTGCAACCTCGATTTCCTGTGCCCGACATGCACGGCCCCCGCTTCGCATGATTTTGCCGGATTACGAGTCAATGGTTGGCGTGAGGCTGAGGAAAGGAAGAGGCTCGAAATCATGGAGGCCAGGGAACGCGCGCGAGCAGCTGAGGCAATCGAAACTCAAACAACAGGCAGCCGCTGCCTACCGAATGGAGCGAGACCGGGAGGCCACGGCGATCGCCGCGCGCACCCTGGAGGAGCGCCAACCGGCTGCAGCGGCGGAGGAGATGCGGGAGCCAGCCAACAGATTCGAAATCACTGTCGCCTCCGAGCGCGAGGCGCAGCTTCACGAGAAGAACTCGGCAAAAGAAGCGAGGCGCGCCGTCCCGGGAGCCGGCGAAGCCCAACGAACGACGATGACACAGGCCGCTATGGAGCTGCAGGCAGCAGAGAATCGGCATACGCAATTGGCGGCAGAGGCCGCCGCTGCCATGCAGCAGGCCGAGGCGAACCGACTCGTCGCGGATGAGAGCTATGCTCGACCCGAGGCCGAGACGCTACGCGCCCGCGAGGAAGCGCGGCGAGTTGAGCTGATTACCGAGGAGAAAGTCGCGGCACAGACTCGCGCGGCGGAGATGATGGCCGCCCAGTTTATGATGGAGCGGGAGGCATAGCGAGATAGCTTATATCGCAAACTGGACCAGCAGAAGACACAGTGGCACCCGAAAGGAGCGTCTTCGGCAATGACTCCGGGCACTGGCTTTTCGACCCAGGTGAGCACAGCAACGGCATCTACTGCCCAATCATCCGCGCCGACCACGGTTGGGCGACCGGCCGCACATGGGCACTCTGACCTGAATCCCCACGCGGGAGCTCCATGGGGTTCTGTGCTCCAAGGTGGCGAACCACGATGGTCCTCTCTGCAACGATGGCGCATGCGACAACGATTTTGCAGAGGGCGGCAAGATCTGCGCACGCTGCCACGGAAAGGACCCGACAGCCACGACGAACGAGGACGAGGACAGGCCCCAGGAGGAAGAAGGTGAGGAACGCCAGGCCAGAATGAAACTTCAGGAGCACAGCGCCGCTACATCCACGCCAAGGGCCCCCTCTCGCGACCGCTCGCTTTGGCCCAGTCACGCCCAGGGCAATGCTTCAGGAAGCGCTTGTCGTCGGACTGGGAGCGCCGAGTCGAAGAGGCCCCTCCAGTTTGAGGATGCTGCAAGGGCTGAAAATGAGAAGCCTATGGGGGCAGTTCGAGCAGGCGATGCAGCGCGAGAAGGAGAACGTCAGGACGCGCGTCAAACGCAGGGTGGGGATCCAGGAAATGCGCGAGGAAAGGGCCGAAGCGGCTGCCAACGGAGGAATCCGCTTATCCGGCGCGTGATTTTAGAACAGCCTCAGCTACAGCCTACAACCTACTGCCTGAGCTTCAGCTCTGCGGGGGGGGGGCGGGGCGGCTCTGCCGGGGAAGGGGGGGGGGCGGGCGAGTGGCGCGCCGTTTTCCAGGGGGGGGGGCCCGGGCTCGTCGCGGCTACCCGCGCGTCTCCGGGGAGGGCATTTTTTGACGCCACTCACGAGGATCGCGGCCTCCGAGGGGGCCCCGAACTCGAGCGCGCCCCCCCCCCCCAGCCCCAGGAAGCTCCCAGGAGGCCCCCATAAGACCCCAAAGAGGTCCCAAGAAGCTCGGAGGCCCCCCAAAAGCTCCAAGAGGCCCCAACGAGGCCCCAAAGTGGCCCCAAGAAGCCCCGCAACTGCCCAAGACCCAAGAGTCCGGGGCTCCAAAACTGCCTCCCAGAGGCCCCGAAGACCCAGGCACGGTGGCGGGATAGGCCGAAGGCCACGAGATAAATGCAGAGTGAAAAGGAGAGGGAGGGAAAAAGAGAAGAGGGACGAGGGCGAAGGAGGATCATCAGTCGGAGCGCCCTGGATCGGCGGCACTGGCCGGAGGCCGCTACGATCTCCGAATCGGCGGCAGCCCGCGCCCACGCGGCGACCTCCCCCCCCGGATGCACACCTCCAGCACCAGGGAGTCTGCCGAGCATCTTCAATAAGAAAGATAAAGAGGATGAGCCGACACCCCTGCGGAAGGCACCAGCGCCCAGGCACCCAGGCTGGGGATTCCCCAGCGACGTCGGCGGAGATGACGGCGACGACGATGGCGAGGACGGCGACGATCACTTCCTTGAAGACGACGAATATTCGACGCCCGATGGAGACAGGGAAAACAATCCAGATCGTCGGCGCCGACATGGCGGAGGACCGCCAGGAGGCGGCTCGCCAGGCGGCGGCGGCGGCGGAGATGCCCCCCCATTCCCGTCGACGGACGCCCCCCCGGCCCCTCCCCCACGCTGGGACGACGCAAGTAAGACTGAGAAGATCGCGTTGGAAGCGACGCCTGATTCTGCCAATTACCAGCGATGGAGGCGCAACGCCGCCAGGACGGCGGCTTCGGCCCTGCCGAATTGCGAAGAAGCCGCCAGCTGGATATCGAGAGCTTTCGACATGAAGAACGCTGATGCCAAGGAGTTGAGAGACTCGGGCATCTTCATCCGGCTTGACCTCATGATAGCAGCTGATCTCACGTCGGAGGTCGACAAGATCGTCAAGAACAGACAGTCACCATCACAGTTACGCCGTCTCGCGAGCGAAATCAAACGATTGGATATCGCCTCGCGGGCCGCCAGGAGCACGATGAATGGTCGTGCGACATTGCGCATCATTGCCGCACACGCGACCACCAGGCATGATCATGGCCAAGTGCACAAGCACACAGATCTCGTGGAAATTCGCCGGCCCAACGGGCCAGAGGCGTGCTAATATCTCCTGTAACTAGTTATCAATTCTTCTAGTTCGCGCGCGCGGGGCGGCCCCCGGGGGTCCCCCGGCGAAAAGTGCCCCCACCGCGGCCCGGGAAGGCCCCGGGAAGGTCTACTCAGAGATGGTTTTGATGGCCTTTTTTCGACACCCCTCACGAGGATCGCGGCCTCCGAGGGGGGTGCACTCGACTACCCCGCCCCAGGAGCCCCCCAAGAGGCCCAAGGGGGCCCCAAGACGCCGCCAAGGAGCCCCAAGAGACCCCCAAGAGGCCCCCAGGAGGCCCCAAAGAGGCCCCCAAGAGGCTTCAAAGAGGCCCCACCGAGCGATCGAGGGCCGGCGGAATGAGCGAAGCGATTAATAAAGATCCGTGGAACGGGCAAGGAAGCGGATGCCGACCTGTTTCATCTTTACGATAAATGGGCGAGGACACTCAACGAAACGAAGGAATTGGATGCCTCCTGTCGCCCCGCAATACTGGAACACATCTATCGCCAAATACAGAAATGCCCTTGCACGCAGCTTGCCCCTGTTATCTACGACCATTGACTATGGGACTGGCACGAAGACTTACGACTGGCTATCATCGAGGGTCAGCGACTGCACGCACAAAGAAAAAGGGCAGAATAATCGAGAAGGGCAGCGGAGGACACTGAACCCCCGAGGCCTTCCTGCGGGAGGGGGCAAGGGCGAAAGGGGAAGAGAGCGGACTGGCATAGGCAGTCAAAACCTGCATATGAAGGATGGCCGCCTCAAGAAGTCGGCACCA